ATTTACTCTTCATAGTGGACAAAAATGTTTAAAATATTTCTCTAAAAGAACACTTGTTGTCACAAATATAATGATCCTGCTGGGGGTTTGGGTAATGCAAGCAGCCATTCACATGAGGGGCGACTGTGGCTGAGTGGTTAGAGCAGTCGTCCTCGAATGCGAGAGTTGGGCGTTCGAATCTACCAGCAATCACATGCCGAAGTGTCCCTGGGCAAGACACTGAACCTCTCATTGCCTCTGATGTGTGTCCCATCAGTGTATGAATGTGATCTAAAAGCACTGATTAGTCTCATTAGAATGATTTGTTCAATTAGCTTTGTAGAGATCTAGTGGAGTGCTGTATGAATGGGTAGATGAGGACACAGATTGTAGTGTAAAGCACTTTGAATATCTTGAAATAAGATAGAAAGGCGCTATATAAGTACAGTCCATTTACCATTACCATTTACATGAGGATATTTTGGAGACGTCCTCATGAATGCTGGTCTCCAACAGCTGCAGCCCTGATGTTTTAGGAAACTGACTTCAAATAGGAGTTAGAGCCTCAAAGGTTCTTTCTTAAGACATCCCAGCTGTGTTGTATCTTGGCAACAGTTAGTAGAAAGTAAAAACACTGAATGAACTTTTAAAACTTCCTCAGGAGGGTGTGTGGATGTGGAGTGATGGTTCCAAGTTTGCCTTCAATTCTTGGGCCAAAGGGGAACCAAACAATTGGGACGGTGTTGAGGACTGCATGGACATCATCAGCTTCGGAGGTATGTATCATCTTCTACACTGCTTCTAGAATAGAAAGGTTAAATGGAGTATGAATTTTTTCAATCCAGCTGAATAACCAAATGGCCTGATTTTGTCAGGTATTTTTCAAACAAGACTTCTCTTTTCTTTGTGATCCAACTCATTTGAGATGGAGAGTAGTCAGAGTCTAAATCTGATATTTGCAAACTTTACAGTTACTGGGACTGTTCTAGATACAGTAGGACAGGCGAGCATTTAAATTAAGGCAGGTGAGCTAATTGGAAACAGGAAGTAGGTGGAGAAATGGAACATGAGAGTCAAGTGAAAGCATTCAAAAACTTTGACATGAAACTACAGAGATTTAAACAACTACTAAAAAAAATGACTTTTCCAACATAAACAGAAAAATCTCCAGTTTTCAAGCTTTAAAGAAGCAATAAAAAGATTCAGAGGTCTTATTTGCAGCCACAATGGACAGTAGCCAAACACCAAAACGTCCAACCACCGATAGAGCAAAATTCATTATCTTCTGCTCAGCCATGACCAAAAGAAATAGAAACTAATGTGTTTCTAGATGTGCAGGTTTGAAATGTTCAAGAGTCAAATGAAGAGAGAGCCACCTCATTTTGGCACCCCGTGTGAGGCTTATTCTTCATTAAACAATTGATCATTAAACAAAGTATATCTCTGGACTCCAAAGTGACAACAAGTCAGGGTTTATTGACGCAAAGGCACAAACAAGCCTTGTACAACTTATTAGCTGCTTTTATCTCTAAATTGTCTGTCACCAAATCTTACTATCCTGACCCTAACCTTGTTTTCCCAAACTTTCACATACACACTCATACAAAGGATATTCTTGTGTCAAGGTGATCTAAGAATCAACCTCCTCCTCAGAACAATGGCTCATGCACATCTGCTCAAAAACACAATCATCAACCACTTTCCCACACACACAACAATGGAGCAGAACATTCTTTGTCCATATGTATCCAAAAACTCTCTTCTCATGCTTGCATAACAAGCAACTTGCATGCAAGGTTTGTTCCCTAGAACCAAATAACTATACTGTTCTTTCTCTTGCCTGAGACAAACAATATTTTACTTGATGGCAGCGGGTCCAAAGAGTTCATTTTTAAAAAGGCTGCTTTGCCAAACTTAAAGATAAAATAATAAAATGAAACAAATTAAAACCTAAAACACAACCAAACCCATGGTTCACGACAGCAAACGTAAAATAATTTTTATTTTCTTATTTTTTTTTATCTTGTGCCCTCTACCCTCCCTGATGGATATTTATATCTCCTGCTGCCTCAGCAGAACAAAACCCATCATCAAGAACAGTTCTTCTCATCCTGGTTTTGAACTGTTTGACCAGTTGACCTCTGGGAGGTGGTGCAGGTACAGCAGAACAAAAACTAAGAGATTCAAGAACAATGTTTTGTTTTCAAAAGCCATAACCATTGTGAGCTGAATGACTTCCCAGTCTCACCTTCTGGAACCCCAGACTTCCTTTTACTCAACTAATGTGAATTGTTTAGGTGTTTAATTATGTAATTAATTATTTTATGGATAATTCTGCGCAATGCCATTATTGAGTAATATCTGTAGAATATACAAGAGCACTACTGTTTTTACCATAGGTTTTATTTACTTGGGTATATGTTTGCACCATATTTTTATTATTTAATTATTTCTATAGCACTTTACACAACCATGGTGATGGTGACCAAAGTGCTTAACAAAAAACAGTACTTAAAATGACAATAGGTCAAAAGCAAGAAAACACAACATAATAGCACAAATAAAACCAGAAATGTCACCACATATTTACGTACTAAAAGCTTGTTGGAATAAAAAAGTCTTAAGCTTCGATTTAAAAGGGCCAAGTTCAGTAATCTGACGCAGATCAAGTGGGAGCTTATTCCAGAGTCGAGGTGCGGCCGCAGAAAAGGCACGGTCACCCCAGCGTTTATATTTAGTCCTTGGAACAGAGAGCAGGAGCTGTCTGACCTCAAAGATCTGGAGCGGGCGGGGAAACTTAGCATCTCAGTTATATAAGGAGGAGCAAGGCCATTCAGAGCTTTAAAAACAAATAATAAAAGTTTAAAATCTATTCTAAAACGGACAGGGAGCCAATGTAGTGAGAATAAAACAGGTGTGATGTGGTCCCATCTAGGAGTGTTGGTTAAAAGGCGCGCTGCTGCATTCTGTACAAGCTGGAGGCGACTCAGTGATGACTGTGGTACACCGACATACAGAGCGTTACAATAATCGAGCCTAGAAGTGATAAAAGCATGAACAGCTTTCTCCAGGTCGTGACAATTTAAAAAGGGTTTGACCTTTTTTAAAAGGCGTAAATAAAAGAATCCCGACCGGACAACAGAGGCAATATGTTTGTCAAAGTGTAAAGCCTTATCAAAGGTCACCCCAAGGTTATTCACACAGTCACTGAAGTTTATGTCCAAATTTCCCAGGCCAGTTGCATCTTTGTCACCAAATAAAATCCATTCTGTTTTACTGTCATTTAAAAACAGGAAGTTCTTGTTCAGCCAATGTTTGATTGCAGAGATGCAGTCGAAGAGAGAAAGCATTGGGTTATTGGATCCTGGCCTTAATGGTAAATAGATCTGCAAATCATCTGCATAAAAATGAAAGTTGACATTGTGTTGTCTTATAATAGATCCAAGTGGCAACATGTATAATGAAAAGAGCAAAGGACCCAAAATGGAACCCTGTGGCACCCCACACAGAAGAGGGGCTGTAGAGGAAGAGGAGCCATTGAACAAGATAGAAAAGGTTCTATCAGATAAATAGGACGTGAACCACTTCAGAGCAGTACCACGAATCCCAACAAAATCATGGAGGCGAGACAGAAGGACAGAGTGGTCCACAGTGTCAAAGGCTGCTGTGAGGTCGAGGAGCACCAGAGCTACTGGGCACCCAGAGTCAACTGACTGAGCTATGTCGTTATGAACTTTCAATAATGCAGATTCTGTGCTATGTCGGGATCTAAAACCAGATTGAAATTTATCCAGGATTGTGCTTTTTTCCAGAAAAGGCTGAATTTGCGTAAGAACAATTCAGCCTTTGAGAACAGTTACTTTTAATCTTAATGTACACAAGGACAGTGACAATAAAAAGAAAGTCATTAATTCATTTCTGAAAACATTCATCAAGAAATGAAGGAAATGTGTCAAATTTTGTCCTGATAATTTCCTTTTCCTTTTTAAAGGAGGTGATTACGTCAACGATGATAATTGCAACAAAAAATTTCCTTTCCTCTGCGTCAGAGACCCATAACTGTGTCCACGTTGTCCCCACACGTCTGAGACCAGTAAGGGATGTGATGTCACTTCCTCC